TCACCCCTGTCGCTGGGTAGGCTGCCCTTACTTCCTCATGGTTGGGAAATGTCCCAGCCAACTAAACTTTTCCTGTTCCGGAAGAGCCCAGAACTTATTTTTTTTGGCCGGAGCCGTCGCTGCTGTTTCACTTGCGGGAGGATGCTGCCCTCAGGTGGTCAGAGCCGAGAACTACAGGTGCACCAACAATTCTGGGCGCTCCCAGGGACCGCAGGCATCGAGGGGCACCCAGCAGTCTCGGACAGTCGCTGCTTGTGACCTTGCCTTAGCGATCTGCCGCAGGCACAGATGAGGACTTTATACCGGCATCTTCACGGATGGGGGCCTTTGGGAAGTTTCGTTTTCAACAGGCATTTTAACTATCTTCTGACTCGGTGTCTCCCTGCCCCCAGTTGCCCTGCACAGTGGCTCTGCCAGATGCAGCTCGAATGTGTGTTTCACTTGCCTCCCCCCCTCTTGTCAGAAACCTTCCCTGGGTCCCTCTTGGCTGAAGGTGAAACCCCAGCCTGGCACCCAAGGCCGTTTACCATGGGCTGGTACTCCGTTCTCGACCTGATTTCCCTCCATTCCTCTCCGTTCCCACGACCTCCTCTTGTCACGCCTGTCGCATGTTCTTTTCCCCTCCTAAATCCAGCCTGTTTCCCCGCCATCTCACCTGCTTCAGGAAGCCCTCCCTGATTGATCTAGCCCACAGGGGCCCTCGGGCTCCAGAATGCCTAGAGCTTTACACTAGTGCCCCATCCTCGGCCTTTCTCAAAAAACACTTGGGACTTTTACTGCCCAGGGGACGCCCTTCGCTACCTCTGGACAGGAAGCTGAAGGAGGAGCACCAGCTTACTCCTCTTCACTGCCTTCTCACTCTGCTGCCCGTTACCCTCTGGGCGCCCCATGGCGCTTGCTACTTGACTTGCCCCCTACGATGCAAGAGCCGGAGCTGCACACAGGCCTCTCTGAAGGCCCGGGGGCAGAGGGAGATGCAGGGCACCGGGTCACAAAAGAACAACGCACACCCACGTTAGGGAACCTTTCAGAGCAGAGATTTCCAACAGGGAAAAGAAAAGCGTCTCAGAGCAGGGGGTGTCTTATTCTGTGATGAATGCTGGGGCAGCATGGGAGACGAAGGAAAACCTGGCTGTGCTGTGAGATGTTGGGCAGATAACCAGCCTCTCTGAGCCTCTTACCTCCCCATCTGTAGGAGGGAGTCCTTTGCATAGGGTGCTTAGGCACAATAGATATTGCATGTTAAAAAAACTGATGCTCAGTATACAGTATATGCTTTTAAAAATTTCATTTCCAGTGCAGGTCTTCTGGATAAGAGAGTCGCATTATTGTGATAATTTCATTATACCATTTAGGGACGAACTATCCAGTTCTCAGAGGTGTGAGGGAGGGAAGCCCCCTCTGCGCAGCGGCGGCGGCCAGGACCAGGTTTGCCCTTCGCTGCCCTCAGGTGGCCAGAAGCTTACAATGCAGTCTGGCTGGTTTGTAAGTTCCAAATAAGGATAAAATTGAGATTTGGGGTGTGTGAGGCGTTTGGGAAGAGAGGAGATTCTGGAGGATAGAGGAAAATGGGAGGAGGGTGACTGGGCGTCTCTGGGAACTATGGAACAGCCCAGTCCAGGAGGTTGTAATATGCACATGGAGTTAAATAGAGGAATGTTCCAGGGAAGGACCTCAGCGGACGCCCCCTCCCTCGCCCCCACCACGGCCGGCTCCCAGTAGTATCGCCCACCAGAGCGTCGTGAGACCTCATCCCACCTCTGGCTCCAGCTTCGTATTTTTCCACTCTCACGTTCACTTCCTGTGTTCCAGAACCACCGTCTTTCTATCCCATACATACCCCGCACTACCGCGCGCTCCTCCCCTTACAGGCCTGGGCACACGCTGGTCTCTCCAGAACACCATGCCCCTCTGCCCTCACCCCGCGGGTGCTTCGCTTCCGCCCGCCCCTCAGCTCTCAGCCAAGCGTGAGTCCTCAGTAAGCCCTCTCCAGCCCAGGGCAGGTTCCTCTGAATCACAGCGCCCTCACAAAACCAAATTCTGCTTTTCTCCGTTTATAATTCACTTATGTTATTCACCTATAGGCCCTGGGAGAGAGAGGATGGGGCCTCTCTCTCTTGTATCCTAGCACCCAGGACAGAGCCTGATAGACAGCAAGAGCTCAAAAAGCATCTGATGGAAGGAGAGGCATCTGCAAGAGAGGAGGCAGAGATCTGGAGAACGTTAGGGGTGCTGAGGCTCTTTCTGCCAACCCCGAGGCATACACGGACCTTTCGTGGACCTCCTCCTCAGAGGAGAGACACCGGGAAACCATGCACAGTTGTGCCAACACACCATTCCCCACTCCACCCTGCCTGCCTCTACTTCCCAAGCATGCATGCCGGACTGAGAAGAAGGGGTGTGACAGTCAGCTGGAGAGAGGGACACGTCTTCCTTGGCCATAAGGAGTTCAGTCCCATTGCCAACCACCTGTGAGCTGTCTCAGTGGAAGCTGCTCAACCGTGAAACAAGCAGTACTGCAACTGGGAGAGGAGACAGGCGGGAACCCTCACGACGGGGGTGGGCTCCCCTTGGGTCTGTTGGCAGTTGTAGCATCTCCTCATCACCAAGTGAACCATGCTCCTTAATTTCTGTGGGTTAAAAGTATGACCCATGGGTTGAGATGCATAGTACACGGTCCGGACGCTGGGGGCTCATTCTCAGAGAAGGCTGAACACAGGCCCATGAGTCTAAGCAATGGAAAAAAGTTTTGCTGGAGGGACTCTTGGCTTGAGACTCCAGAGTCAAGTGCAGGTGAGGTTGGGAGACAACGGGACACCTAAGGATGCTTCTAGAAAGAAGGGTTAGCAATAGGGTTGGGCATTAGAGGTTTTCTTCTAGAAAAAGTACTAATTCCTTTTAGGTAAATGATTAGATGCACCTTAAGGTAACCCAAGCCTCACTGGATGGGAATATGGGTTCTCAAAATGCTGCCTTTTTCATTTGGATTGCATTTGAAAAGGGAATTAATTTGTTCTGAACTTAGAAAAGATTTTGAAAACTTAAATTAATGTTTTTGAAGATGTTTTAAAAATTTGCCAACCCACGAAGCTGAAGTTTGGGGAAGAAGATAGAAAAGTGCTTGGTGCATCAAATCAATTTTTTGAGAGGAAATGTTCTTTATTCCCAGAATTAGGGGAAGAGGAGGGTGAATTTTACCCAGAACTTAGGGTAGGTGAGTGGCTCCATTTCAAGGATCTTCGGAGCTGAGCCTCCAGTATGGTTTCATTATATAGACTGGGATGCTGTGCCTCCCAGTAACTTCAATACAGTCAACAATTTAAAAAGGAAAATTGGAGCTTTGTAGTCAATTCTTAACTATCCATGTGTTTATTCCTTCCCTCTGTTAATGCAGAAATCAAGAGCCATTTATAATTTCAGTCTGGAAGGTCCACAGAGAGAAGATACTCAAACTCAGGAGGCTGGTCACGCCAAAGAACAGCAAGATGAGTGTGAATTCGAAGGGACGTGGTGGTAGAAGAGGGAGAAGAGCCTGGGCAGAGCACCTGCCACCGGGCAGCTGGGTGCTATGGCAGCTCTTCCTCCCCAGGCTCCGGGCTCTACGACAGCTCCAGATGGCCCTGCCTCGTGGGCCTCCAGGTCTCCACCCCACGGAGTCTCTGCCAAGAACTCTCAAGCCGGCAGTAGTGCTGTCTGCTCTCTGTTCTTGTTGTCTCCCAGCCCAGGAGGAGCAGAGAGAGCAGAGTCATCAGCAGCGCAAGGAAGAGAACCTTTACTCGGTAGGCAGGGTCGGATATGGCCGCGGTGAGGGTATCCGTGTCCCGAGAGAAGGCTGCAAGCTGCGAGGAGGACACAGGTTTCTCAGAGAGCGCTGGGGTGTGTGGTGTTAGCAAACTGCCCACCCAACGAAGCGAACGCGAGAGAAGCGGGCTTGCTCTTCATCACATCCTGGGAATGGATGTGATGTGCTTGCTCACGTGGGACCATTTTCTTTCAGATGCAACCTGAGCAGGCAGAGAAGTTTGCTTATCAAGGTTAACAACTGCCTCCAATACAAACACAGTCTTGAGATGACAGTTCAATTGGTAAAGCTTCTGGGTGGTGGGAGAAGCTTCTGGGGCCTTGTGATGACACTTGAAGGTGAGGTTAGGGTCTACACGGAAGGTTCCAGCCCAGAAACTTCTAATCCCTGAGCAACACTCCCTGCATATCTGGCCTCCAGACTGAAAAAGGAGTTCCCCCAAATAAAGTTTTTCCCATCTTGAAGATGCCCTTCAATCCCCTTTTTATTTTTTTTATAGCCCCTTTTCATCCAGAAATAATTTTAGATATATAAAAAGTTACACAGATAATTCGGAGAGGTCCCATGTACCTAATCTTGTGTAACTACAGTGCAAAATCAAAAACAGCCAACAGGCATTGGAGCAAATGTCTGCAGAGAGTCTTACGGCATTTTATCATAAATGTAGATTATTGTAACCACCACTGAAATCAATCGAGACATAAAATGATTCCATTACTGGTCTGCCAGTTAGAGACAAGCAGAGAAAACTTACCTCCCTGTAAGTCCCTGTACCCTCCTCCATTTATAATGTGATTTTATTAAATATTTCCTCTGTAGATATTGAAATTCACATTCAAACAATGTTATACTTTTTGCTTCAACTGTCCAGCATAATTTAGGAAACAAGAGGAGAAGGAAAGTCTATCATATTTACTCAATTTGCTGGTGTTTAGCTTTGGTCGTTTATATTGTTCTGTCTTCAAGTTCACCGATTCTTTTCTTCTGTCCCCATCATACTGCTGTTGAGCCTATCCATCAGGTTTTACATTTTGGTAATTATATTTTTTAGTTCTAAAATTTTCATTGGTCCTTCTTTATATCTTCAATTTCTTCGTTGCGATTTTCTAATTTTATTTGTTTCAAGTGTGTTGACAATGGCTTGTTGAAGTATTTTTATGATTCTTTAAAATCCTTTCCAGATAATTCCAATATCTGCATCATATTGGTGTTGATATCTGCTGGGTTTTTTTTTTCAATTTAAGTTGAGATTTTCCTAATTTGGGGGATGATGTATGATTTTGATTGCATGCTGGACATTTTGTGTGTTATGAGACTCTAGATCTTATTTAAATCTGTGCCTGGTGTTTACCCTGCGAGCAGTCCAGTGTCTCTCTCCTCCCACTTCCCTGCTTGGTCAGCTCCTACTCTAAGGCTGTGCCAGCGCTATTTCCCTTCTGTTTTAGAAGGATTCCTCTGACATTATCTCAGCTGTGGGTAAAGGGCATCTCCTCACTACTGCCAGTCAAGGGTAAAGGTCCATGTTCTCCACTTAGCCTCTTTTATCAGCCCAGGGTTGGGGGAAGAGGTATCTCTTTGCTAGTGGTGGATACAGAATTTCAGACACCCCAGATATAGGATGTAGGATTTCAGACACCCCAGATAGCCTCCTCTGATACTCTGACGTTACACTTGTTACCTCTGGATGGGGAGCTCGTTATCTCTGGGGAGGGATGAAAGGCCTGGCCCCCCACTCTGTCTTCTATGATTCTGTCTTGGCAAGGAGGGGAATGGGGAGGGTGGAGGCCTGGGAGGCCCCACTTGGTCTTTGCTAATGGGGGTGGCGATTGACTTTTCCGTACTGTCTGGCTGAAGTAGGGCAGTGACTGTCTAAAAGTTTTCTGTCTTACTGATGGCTTTTATCCCAGTCATTCGGCTAGAGAAAGCAAGCCGGCTTCCCTTGGGACTTTATTTGGTCTGTGCCCGTTGGCATTTCTCAGCGGCATCTCCAGGATAGATGAGGTTAAGGAAAACTCAGGGAACTCATGGCCACGTTGATCTGTGGGTTCCAGAGTCTCAAGAGCTTCCCAGCTTCCAGTATCTCTCACATCCTGTTTATGGAGAGCATTTAGTTTAATTTTTTTTTTGGAGAGCACTTAGTGTAAATTTCTCATATGGAAGGGAAGAAATTAAAGTCTACTGAGCCTCTGTTAAGATACTTAGTGCTTCGACATGTTATTTTATTTAAAACAGTAACTCTAAGAGACAGTAATAGCAATCATTTATTGCACTATTCCTTTCTTTACACAAGCTACCCGGCTAAGTGCTTTACTGTGTCAGCTGACTTCATCCTCCCAGGCAACCGAGGCTCAAAGAGATTAAGTAATTTGCCCAAGGTTGTGCAGAAATTAATTCTAGAAACTGGCATTTAACTTTAGATGTAAAAAAATTCCAATCTTCTGCTGTTCTTATTGCAGTGCTCTATTACAGTTCTGTTCTTAAATCTTTCGGGAACATAGAGTGATTCTTAATTTATCTTGTATCAGTGAAAACTCACTCTTGGAGCTTCTAATGCCCTCTACTGACGACCGGCTCGGTCAGCTCAGCCAGTGTTTACACTCCAGGGGAAAACCTGACTCCCACAAACCTCAATGTAGGCCGATCTCCCCCTTTCCTAACCCTGAAGAATTCCTTTCACCTGCCGCACCGCCCTTTCTGTTCATTAGGCTCCTCCTTTCAGCCTTGCTGAAGCAGGCCTTTCCGTCGAAGGTCTCCACTGTGAGAAGCAACTACCTTCTGATCTCCCTAAATCAATATTCCCCAGTCCTTTACTTGTGTTCATTTTTTTATTTCATGAATTCATTTATTTTATGCATCCCCAAACACTCACTGTGTATCTGTTTTGTAGAAGACCCCGAGCCAGGAGCTCTGGGAGAAACACTGGTAAATCAGAAGTGAAATTTCAGGGACCTTACATGATCACCTATCGTGGGGTTATCCGGTTGAAGAAGTGACGACACCACGGTCCTCCACTAACGCAGGCACCTAGGAAGGAGTGAGGGAGAAAAGCAAATGCACATTGAATGTTACACTCAAAGCTTTTGCTGGTGCATGTATATTATCTCACTTAATATCTGGGGGCCCCAGGGTGCCTCCCCCCAGCTGTGCACATCCCATTTGGCCTAAGCGTCTTGCTTTCTCTCTCTCAGAGTGTCTCTCTCTCTCTCTCCTGTGTTTGTAATTCTGATGGCTCCTTCCCCTCAGCAAAGAAATTTTAGTATTATTAGTAGCCATGATATTTTTGAGCCCATCCTCTGTGCCAGGCTGATACCACAGATGGTAGGCTGTGTAATGGCTCCCCAAGACATCCCATCTGAATCGCTAGCACATATGGTTATGGTATCTTACATGCTGAAAGGGACTTTGCAGATAATAATTAAGTTAAGCATTTTGACATGGGGAGATGATCCCGGATGATCTGGGTAGGCCAAATATAATGACAAGAGTCCTTTTAAGAGTCAGACAGAATGGCGATGAGACAACATAAGCAGAGAGAGACTGAGATCTGGAAGATGCTACACTGTGGGCTCTGAAGATGGAGGAAGGGGCCACAAGCCAAAGAATGCAGGCAGGCTCCAGAAGCTGGGGAACAGTCTCCCCGAGAACCTCCATAAAGAATGCAGCCTTGTTAAGACCGCTGATCTCCAGAACTGGAAGGTAACACGTTTGTGTAGTTTGAAGTCACTGAGTTTGTAGTAATTTGTCACAGCAGCAACAGGAAACTAATAATACACCAAGTTAGGTCTTATCTTAAAAAAACAAAACAAAACCCAAACCATAAGGCCTCTCTCCATGCTAGATACTCTCGTCTTTATATCAAAGCCAGGCTTCTTGACAAGTGCCAGCGCCAGCTCCGTCCTTCCACACTTGCTCCTGAACCCACTTTGTTCGGGCCTCCATCCCCACCACTCAGTCCGGTTTTCCCAGGGCCCATCCCAGCCTCTTCACCAAAACATACAAGCATGTTTCAGACTTTACCTCGGCACAGCAAGATTGTGTTCAGCTGACTTCAGAACGTTCATTAAATTCTTTCTATGTGTAAACTTTATCTCGGCATGGACAGATTCTTCTGTTGAAACCTTTTGTTCTCCTTAGCTTGGTGCACACCTGCGCACTCTCCCTCCTACGTCAGGGACCCCTTCTTAGCCCCGTCCCCCAGCTGTCCTTCTGTGCATTTGGTATTTCCCCAGGGCCCACCTGCAGCCTGTTTATCTTCTGAAGTCTTCTCTGGGTTTGCTCACCTAGTCTCCTGGTTTCAGTGACATCCTATAGACGCATGGCTCTCCGGTCTGTGTCCTTATCCAGATCTCATTCCTTACTGCAGACACATATCAACTGACACCAGCTGGCTCTTCAGCTACACCACAGGCATCTCAAACCCTCACGTCCAAACTCACCCTAAGCATCTTCCCTGTCAAGCCTGCTTCTCCTCCCTGGGAATCCGGCTAGGCTGCTCTTTCCTCCTGACTCCCCGCACTTCAATTACCATCAAGTTCTGAGGTAGCCTTCACACCTATCCTCTCCTCCTTATCCCCCTGGTTTTTATGTTCGTTCAAACTTCCCTTTCCTGGTCCTTAGCAGTTCTTGCAGTACGCCACCAGTTCAGCTTCTTACTTCCAATAGTCTCATTGCCTCACAGTCTGTCCCTACTCCATGTTAACAGAGTAATATGCACCAAGTTGTCAGACCACCTCACTCCTCCAAAGCCATCATTTGGGCCCATTACCTTGGAGGGAAAGTCGCAGTGCCACTGCATATGGCATCAATAAACTTTCCGTTCATGTTGTCTCTCCATGCCTACCTGCCTCGATTCTTTTCCTGTCATGCTTTCCCATGCATTTCAGACTCCCTTATAAAAGATGGCGTTCCTCAACTTGTGGTACCAGCTGGCAAAGTGGTGATGGGCAGCAGTTCACACCAGGAAGTGATATTAAGTATTCATCATGTGTTAAGTAAACTGTGGTCCTGTTCAGTATATTTACTTAATTCTGATTCAGGGGTGGGGATGAAGGCCAGAATAAATATATTCTCTATGCCCCAGTTTCTTTATCTATAAAATGGGGCTTATCATAGCACCTATTTCAAAGAGTTGTGAGAATCAGATGTGGTAATGCTTGTGAGTTCTTGGAGTGACGTCCAGCACAGGGCCAGTGCCCGGCAGAGGTGGCTGTGTTATCTCCTGGCTTCTGCGCCTGGTGTTTACTCTGTGTGCAGTCCAATGTCTCTCCTCCCACTTCCCTGCTCGGTCAGCTCCTACTCTAAGGCTGTGCCAGCGCTATTTCCCTTTGGACCCTGACCTCTACCACCTCCAGGCCACAAATGCAAACTCTATCATAGTATTTAGTGCTGAAACTGTGTCTCCCGCTCACTAGATAATAGTAATTTGAGAGCAGAAATTTTGCCTTTAGTATCCCCAGAAACCAGCTTGCTCAGTATATGGGATGAACAGTTGAATGAGACATTCTGGATAAATTCATGTTTTCATCCAGGAACTTGGTTCTTCAGACAAAAATGCTGCCCCCATTTTAAAGGAGAGAACAAACAATTCAGGGCAAAGGATACGGGAGGATTTTGTTGGGAACCGCTTCCTGGGAATGATATCCTATTTTATCCCAGGGCTCTGAAGGCCTAGGGGCATTTTTGCATAGGTCTGGGAAAACAGCTTTAAGCTTCTGCCCTATTGGGGTGGGAGGTGAGGAGAGGAGGGGAAAGAGCAGAAGGAAGGAATGGCGGTAGCTCTCGAGAAGTCTGCCCAGTGTCTTGTTTCAGAAGATGCTCACTTTGGGAGAGCTCTTCATCCTGCCCTCAGGAACCCGAAGGCGTCCGGCTAGACATACGTTAAAGTTCCTTCAGCTCCTTAGGTCAGTTAAGTAACCTGTTGAACAAAGAAACGAAGGTATGTCTCATCCAGACACTGTAGTGTAATGAGAGGAGAAGACATAATTTCCCTTCCCTTACAGTCAAACAGTGGGAAGGGAGCTCCTACTGGACCGAGTCCAACTTTCAGTCAACTGGGAAAGGGATTCTGGGCATGGGGAGCTCACAGTTTAGTGGAATACCCCATCCCTGGTGTCTCCCAATTTCCTCTTTTACTAACTCTGCAAAAGCTTACAAGGTGGTTGATCAAATAAAACTGTTTTATAAAACTGCATATTCTAATACAGCACTTTAGATGGTTCTTATCTGTTCTGATATGTGAAGCAGGAACAGAGCACAGCAGTTTTCAGGGAGGTGGAGGCAGCAGGCAGAGCAGCATTTCAGGAAGACTCGAGACCCTTCCAGATCACACAGACCTTCCCCAAAGCCATGCAAACCATTCATGTATTTAGCTGACAAATATCGAGGGTTTTCTGTGTGTAGGGCACTCTGAGAACAAAGATGAGCAAAACTGACGCTGTCCCAGCCCTTGTGGGGCTTAGTCTCAAGGGAAAAGACAGACCATCAAGAGTCATTTAGAAGCCAGTGTGGTGGGAGGCATGGGGACCTTTGGAAGTGACAGATCAGCGTGCTGCTGAACCCTGGCTAACTCTAAGTCAGGGTGCAGGATGGTTCAGAGACCCAAGAAATGACCCGGAGGCAGAGACTGAGACATAGGTTCCTGGGGGGAATTTACAGAGAGGCCGGGACAGCCAGCTTGACAATGTATCCGCTCTTGGGGGCCACGTGCAGCAGGCTTTTATTACATACAACTCTCAGAGATCCCGCCCCTCCTTGCACGACCAGCATCCCAAGGAGATCAAGGCCTGCCATCTGGACATTCGTTGTTACCAAGGAGATGCCACGGGTTGGCCCCCCCAGAATCTCTGGCCTCAGCATACCAAATGATGTGTTTTGCTACATCTCTTGCTCAGTGGGCATACAGAGGGACAATGGGAACTATGCATTTTCAAGATAATAAGAACTGAGGCGTTCAGGGTGTGCAGGTACAAAGCAGTCGCCCAGCGCTGCCTCAAGTCAGACTCCTGCCTCAGGCGTGTAGCAGTTAGGATTTCTTCCTGGTATGTTGATGTTTACACTGAGGCCTAAAAGAAGAGTGAAGCGAGTCACAGAAAGAGGGGAAAAGGATGTCGAGGTGTGTGACAAGTGTTCTGGGCAAAGAAGATAGCATCTGTGTCTGAGGATGTTAAGCAGGAGCCATCTGGCACCCCGGAATTGGCAGGATGTGAAACTGAGAGGTGCCGTTGAGAGGTGGCTAGTCAGTTCTGCTACCCCAAACCATACTTCAGCACCCCCTCCTCTGCCTCCACGGGAAATAAACAGAAGATGGTGCAGAGATGAAAAGAGAAAGGATTGATGGAGGCAGGGGTCTGTCACTAGCCAAGGGATCAAAGGCTGTAATTTTGTCTCACCTCCCCCAAGTGAGTGGCCTCCACGAGAACCACTCAGAAATTGGTGGATTGGCAACAAGACTGATCTGTTGATGGGCTTGCTGATCTGTTATCTGTGGTCACTAGAGAAAGGAAAGCAGGTGGACAGAGAAAGAGTGGTCAGCCCTAGCAGCAAGGATGTGTGCGTTTCCTGTCAATCAAATGAACAGAGTGGAAATCGGCAGGGCTTGAACCATTTTGCTCGTTCTCCTCGCAAGAAAACTGACAGCCAGGGGAGCCCCGTTATACCACTCAGGCCATCACTCGAGGGCTTGTGGGAAATAGGTCAGCAGATTTCCCACCGGGGGGTTCTGCAATGGGGAGCGCTCCCAGCAAACCCATGGGCCGTAAAAGCTAGCATTTGGGCACCTCCAAAATGTAAGGTATCCAATGACCAGTCAGCCTTAGCCTGAGAGGCAGGCAACCAACAGATGATCACAATTACACACCTGGTTAGGTGACAGCACTGGACCTCTGGTGACCGAGTGAGGAGAGCTCCAGAACCTGTCAGCCGGAATGGGAGGACCGACAGAGAACGGTGGGAGGTACTGGTTAAAACCACAACAGGAGTGTGCTCAGCTGACTTCAGAATGCTCACCAAATTGTTTCCGTATGCAAAAAACCCTTGAGGTGAGAGGCAGCCTGCTGTGTTAAAGAGCTGGTAGTATCTGAAAGTGAATAAAACACAAGAGGGGAGACTGGAGTAGGAGGAAGCCAGGTGAGGAAGCCTCATTAGGGCGTTAGTGCTTTATTCTGGGGACTAAGGAAGCCAGGACAAGTTTTAATCACCATATTTGCATTTTAGAATGACTGCACGGGGGTGGGGAGGGGACTAGAGACAAAGAAATCTTTTCAGCCGGAGTGGATGGTAATTTGTGAATTGCAGTTAAGGATGGAGAAAAGTGGGCAGATGGTACGGTATTCAAGGTAGAGAATTACCAGGAACTGCAGGTAGCGGGAAAACTTAAAGAAGCTTCTATTTTTTTTCCTTGCCTCTCCTTCCAGCTGACCGCAGAAATGTCCCGTTTCCAGCTCCTGCCGTCACTTCCTTCAGTGCTGGATCAAAGCCTCGCTTGGCTTCTTGCTTCTCTGGGACACTGTGCTTAGGGAGGTGGCTCGGCCTGAAAACCGCGGCTCCACGGGGACCTGGAGGGCCCGGGGCGCCAGCAGTAGTTTCCACACAAGTCCACCCAGCAGCGCGACAAGGCAGGCCGCGCCTCACAGATCAGTAAGAGGGCGAGGATCCCCCCGTTTAAGCGATTTACTCAACACTCCACAGCTGGTTTGTTACCAGTCCAAATTTCAGCTCCAGCTTTAGGATTCTTTAAATAACATTTAATTGCTGCATCCAAGTTAAATAAGAGGGGATGAAAATGGGGAAAAAATGGACATAATTACTTAAAATACAATGCCCTGCGCGTACCAGTGGAAGCAGAGGCCGCGCCTTTCTCTAGACCAGCCCCAAGAGGTGGGGAAGTGCGCATGTGCGTCAAGTGCGAAACCCGCCCCGGAGAAAGTGGGAAAGTGCGCATGTGCCAGAGGTCCGAGGCCCGCCCCGAGGGGTGGGGAAATGCGCATGTACGACAAGTGCGAGACCGTCCCGGGAGAAAGTGGGGAAGTGCGTTTGTGCCCGAAGTCCCAGGCCCGCCCGGAGGAGGTGGGGAAGCACGCCAGGGTTCCCAGTGCAGGCAGGCCCGGCCCGTAATAGGTAAGGCAGTGCGCATGTGCCGCAGGCCCGAGGCCCGCCCCGGAAGAGGTGGGGATGGAGCCCAGAAGGAGCGGGTCGGCTGTCTGTCCACCAGCGCCCAAGGTCCGTCAGTGGAATCCCGGTCGCGGGAGTTAGTTTACCCGGTTGCTGTGGGGTCTCCCTGTAAGCACCCCACCTTTGGAGGCTCCGGGGGTCAAGCCTGTGTCTTTTCCGGGGCAGAAGGCATGGGCTAGTGGGGGTCGGAAGAGAGGGTCCCCCGGCCTGCGCGTGGGTTCCTGTGGGCCAGGGGGCCGCGGCCCAGGCATTTAGAGATCAGGCTTTGAGGCCGCTGGGTCCGAGCTGGCGCAGATAAATTACTCGCACAGGAGAGTCGGGTTTGGAGTAGCTGCTTGGGGCGCATTGTTGTGCTGTTTTTCTTTTGGGTGAGACCTCGCTCCTGATCGCCTCCAGGAGCCGTTAGTTCTTCCCATACTTGAGGTTTCCCTCTTTATAAGCCCGTGTCACCCTCAGGTCCCCTTTATTCTTCCAAGCTGGCCCCGACTAATCTTAAATTCCACTTCTCTGCTGTCTTCCAAAAACCCAGTCCCTGGAATCCATCCTTCTTTCTCTCCTGATACCTCTTCTGTCTAGACAGAGCCCCCTTTACGCTCTGCTCTTGGCCCATGAGTCATGCCAAGGGCCCCAGGAAGAGCATTCCACAAATGTTTGTAGGCACAAGCACGTCTGAGCCTCCCACGTAAGCCCGGCAGCTCACTTCTTTTTGTTTCTCTTCTTGACATTGTCTCTTTCTTGGTTCCACCTCTATATAGGCTCTTTGCTCTTAAGTCTGAAGGGCCAGCCTTGGCCAGGTGGCCACCCTAACTCCTGTCACTTTGTCTCTGGTTTCCACATTTAGTAGTACAGAGGGCACAAACCTGGCTTGACTTAGAGGATAGAGCGGGGAAGGGGGCGGGCGGGTAATAAAAGCATATACAGAACACCTATTATGTGTAAGCCACTGTGTGTCTGGTGTATAGGGTGGAATCTACATAGACAAATGAGATACATTTCTTAACTCTGAAAAATCCACAGTCAATTATGGAATGTTCTACTTAAGGATTTTTCACCGAATTGTAGCTAAGCAAAAGTTTGTAAAGTCTGAAGAGCCAGGATCAACTCTTGGGAAGTAGAATCATTTATCACACTTGGCATACCTTTGAAATGGCTTTTGCTCTGCGCTGTTAGCCCTGGGACCACCTTCCCACCTGTCCTTGGGAAGGAAGAATGAGCAGGGGCACACCAAAGAGACAAGCCTTCCGGTGGAGTATTTCTGCCATTCTCTCGAGTGACCGCAGTAGTCAAGATATACACGAAAAGGTATTTTTTGTCCTTGGACCCTCTGCCAGCATTTCAGACATTCTGTTACCTGGAAGTGGCTAATTCTGTGAGCATGTCCCTGCTAGTGCCTCTAGAATCTCTCCCATGATTGGCGGTAGCCTTTGTGTTTCTAGAGACAAAATCTGACGGTTCTGCCTGGGGAACTCCAGAGCTGAGCCAGAACCACTTCCCTGGACAAATGGGGAAGAGGCAGTTGTGCTGTGGCCCAGGTGTTTCCACGGAGAGCCAGGCAGGCTCAGAATAGCAAAGGCCTGAGAGCTCTTCTTCCCGGAGGTAAATGTCTACCATCCCATCTCTCTCTTGCCTTTTTGCACCCATACTCGTTAAGAATCAAGACTTTTAAACTCTGCTTTCCTCTCCATCTCCCAGGCTTATGGCCCTATCATTTTAAACTGTTCCAATAAAGTTTGCAGCTAATTAGGTTGTACTTTGCCAAATTCAATCCCATCTTACTAGATTTCCTGCAGGATTGGACACTCTTCACTACTTCCTTCGTGAGACTTACTTTTATTAGTTCTCGAGTCTCCTTTCACTCTCACCATTTCCTCTTGTGCCTCCTTGTTACTGTCAGTCCATCAAATTTATGTTTATGTTTTTCAGGATTCTGTCCTTCACCTTCTCACTGTGGATACTCTTTTGGAGGTGACCTTTCCCCTCCTATGCCATTTATTTATGACTGACTCCCAAATCCAGATCTTCTACCCTGGTCTCAGTAACGGGCAGTTTTCAGTGGGGTCTCAGATCTCATTGTGTATCAGAATACACGGTTTTCTGCCACCTCAGAGAGAAGGTGACCCGACAGAAACATCAAAATAGTGAAGAGAGAAAATACTTTCTTAGGCCACCAAGGATAACTGTGCATGCTCTGCCCATGTTGGGTATTCGACCATGAGAAAAAGGGGGGATGCAATTTGAACAATGGACTGTAGGCGGCACTTCTCTTTGTGCTGAAGGAATAGGTCCACAATGAATATGCCTCTGTAAGTCTTTCCTTCCTACATGTCCTTACTGCTCCTTTATTACCCAACCTCCACCATTTGGCCCAAAGGTCATCCCTGTCACTTTCTCAGAGTTAAGCTCTCCCTCCTGTGTTCTGTCTGCCCGGGAAGGGACAGGTGGTTGAACCAGAGAAGTATGGCAAGGGACCAGACCCTTGAGGCCCTTGTAGGCCGTGGTAAGGGTTCTGGATTTTACTGAGTGAGATCAGAGTCATCGGAGAGTCTTGAGCAGATGAGGAAGGTGACTGACATGTTAAAGGTCTCTCTGGCTAAGTTAAGAAAGAACTATAGGGTGCAAAAGGGAGGCAGAGACCAGTGAAGAAGCTATTGCAATAGTCTAAGTGAAAAATGGTGATCTGGAAGACCAGGGTAGTTATGGAAGTTGTGAGAAGCGGTAGGCTTTGGATATCTTAAAGGTAGACTTGATGGATTTCCTCATGGGCTGGAAAAAAGAAAGGAGTAAAATGATGATTCCAAGGTTTTTTGCTTGAACATTGATTAAAATGGGAAAAGTGCATTGATTAAAATGGGAAAACTCCTATAGGGCAGGTCTGGGGTGGGGTGGAACTGGGCTGTGGGCACCTTAGATCCCTCTGTCCAGCACATATGTTTCAAATTGATGGATCCAAACGTCGCAATTCTGGGAGGGGGCATTAAGTGTCCCCACTTTCTGAACGAGGAAATTAAGATTCAGGGAAGTTTGAGAGTCCTCCAGGTTGATTACCGCAGGTGTATGTAAGATCTGGGGTTGAGACAGGATTTCCTGTGTGGCTTGTGTTCTCTCAAACTGTCATGTTTGCCTCAGCTGCCCACAGTTTGCAGCGTTATAAAGCAAAACAACCAGACAGACAGACTGGCCTCCAACATCTTCATGTTATTCGTGACCTGACCGCCAGCTTTAACACCCCCCACCCCTTCTTGCTCCCCATTTTGCTTCACAGTTTCCTCTTTTCTCACCTTGTGGTTCAGTCCATCCTTGCCCTTGACCTGATTCTGGGCAATGCTTTTCAGACGACATGGCTTCTTATAGACTGCTCTGCCTGGGCCCAGTGCAGCTTCTTGAGTTGTAACTGGACATTTTAAATCAGGCTTAATGCTCTTATAAGATGGAATATGTGTCTCCATTTTAACAATGGGCATATATTATGTAAATGTGAGTTTCTATATTCATATATGACTTGGTAAAAAGTAAACAGTTTGTTTACATACATATCTTATCCATAGAGTCCTTTTGCTGGGTCTGTGCTTTGGTTGGGAGCGTTGATCACATTTGTTAGGATCATTTTACCTTCTCATAGGTTTAACCCGACATAAGAAAGCTTAAAAAACCAGTCAGTTACCAAACAATTATATTAGGTGATAATTCCCCGCTTTTCGTATAGTGGATAAGTCACTAGGTTATTTTACATGAAATCTTTTCTCTAAATGCAAGTGTTTGCTACCGGATCATTAGCAACTTTATAGAGAAACTATTGGGCAGCCTAAAGAGAAAGTGAAACTTTGAACTCAAGGTCTCTCTGAAGGGTAAATTGGAATATCTTGAAATTGTGATGTGAGTCAGTGTGGAACTACATTTGATATTCACTAAGTTAGTTCTTGGTCAATGAGGTACACTTGTTTTAAAATACCAAGTAGTAACTGCATTCAACTGTTCTTCCATCAGTCATGCCAGAGTAGGTTCTGAGTGCTGGGAGGCACAGCAGTGAACAAAATGGATAAAATCTGCCTTCATGGAGCTTAATGTCTACTGAGGAGAGATTTGTGCAGTGAAAAGGTAAGTCAGGCGACAGCAAGGCCTGTGTAGAAGAGAAGAGGATTTGCCTGACTGCAATTGGGGTTGTGGCAGAGAGTTTGAAGACCTGGTGAGGAACAGGGAAGTTAATAAGAGTTGTGTGGGTGGGCCAGGATGCCGAGATGGGAGTGGGGGAAGGAAGGATTAGCCCTAGGGCGGCGGTGTTCATTGGGAAGTAGTACTTGAGGTCTACTCAGTGCTCATTAAGTATTTATTTCATTGAAAAACAATCTCATCCTCCTTGTCCAGAGAACTATTTTAATGCAGGTTTTTATTTTACTAAAGGCTTATCTATCAAAGGCAAATCTACCTGCTGAAAGACTGAATCCCAGAAATGTTGGAGAATAGTTATGTCACAGTGAGGGAGCTGTTTAGAGACACCAAATGCAGAGTGGGGATAAATAAATACTTCTTTTGAGTAGAGAAGAATAGAGTTTGGGCTCTCCTAGTGGCCAGAGAACACAAGATTTTTCAATACTCAGAAGGTATGCTCGTCCTCTGAAGAAGATAGCAGAAGTTGTGTTGGGGAGGTCATGACACAAGGCATGGGTGTGTGTCAACTCTGTCACCAGTAACCTTGTCAGGTGCCCCACATTCACAGATTCCACTAACCTGAGAGTACTCCCTTGGCAGAGTAAGGGAAGGAAGGAAACTCTTGCAAAAGGTTAT